GAATAGGTGGCAAGACAAACGAGCAACAAAGGTCATAAGGGTGGATTGCTGATGGGCTAATGTAACCTGAGGCTTGATGGTTTCTGGGACATAACGTCTCAGAAAAAGGAACAAGACGTAAATCCCATAGATATGTTGAGGGTAAATTGACCCGAGCCAATACAGCATCCCTACCAATAAAGTCACAACAACAAAGAAGTCACATATGTAATGCCAGAGCTGAGGACAAAATGTAGGCTAATGTGGAGGAGAGAAGGTGCAGGATATCTGCCAAAAAACCATCAGGATTCTTATAAAGAGCATCCGAGTGGAGATGTATTGAAGAAATACACTGTAGAAGGTTGGTTAGGGTAAGACAAAGGCATGGGTAAGACTAATATTAGATTCAGGAACCACCCCCCAAAGAGGTAACAATGAACCCAACAATTGCTGATCCAAAAATGGATAGTCAGCATGATGGTAAGAAAGAGTGTACTGATCAGAATTCCTTGGGGGGTGCAGCATGCCGATCCCCTCACTTAATTGTGAGACAAATTGATCAGCATGTAACCAAATACCTGGGGAAGGAGGAAATACCAAAAATGGTTGAGAAGAGGTTTCACGTAACAAAGAAGAGCAAAGTGAATAAAAGATAGGGGAAAGGGATAAAACATCACAAACCTGAGAAAAAAATCTGTGAAGACCAAATTAGGCCAGATGAATCCTCAGGTTGCAATTGGGAAGGAATGGCAAACTCTGGAGGCAGGAAAGACGATCAAAATCCTTGTCATTTTGAATAATGTCTGCCGATTCAGGAGGAGCCTAGGTGATGTCAGGGGACAAAAGTTGAACCATGTAGCATTCAAATCTCCTGATGTATGAAAGCAGAAAGATCCACTATCGGGTCACCCGCACCTAAGGCCAGAGAAATAACACTGGACAGTGGTGTGACTCCCAAAGCGGTTAAGTGAACTTTGGAATTCATAACTCAAAATAATGTACACATATGGTCGGGTGTTGTAAAAATATATAGCGACAAAATGAACTGGTTGTTCTAAAATAAAAGTTAATCTTAAAAAAAAAAAACTTTGGGCAAAAAAAAACCATTGTCACATGGGAGCACAAAGCCCAAAAAAGAAGACGTCTCAAACACTGCCAATAGTAGCATGTCATGCTACTATTGGTTAAGAGATGACGCATGATGATTTGCATGAGAGACATGTTGGAATATGATAATTTTAAAAAGGAGGGAGTGCAAGCTTGTGGCATGTGTAAAGAAAAGTTTGCATATAGAGGTCAGCACTACACGAGAATAGCTAATCTTGTGAGCGTAGGTAAGTACTGTATTTGAATTCACCTTCACCATTCTCACAACCTTTTCCTGCTCCTACAGTTGTGCTCCTCCTCTTGTTAGGTCTAGTTCCAGACCCTGCTTTTCTTTTTTCACAGTAGCACCACTGGTTCTTCCCTTGCCTTTACCTGTACTCACACCTGAAAGGCCTGCCACAGGACTCTCCTCACTGTCACTAGATCTGTCCAAGTCAGATTTCTCACTTTCCAAATCATCATCATCAAAATCACTGGGAATAAAGTCACTTTTCTGGCTCAGAAGTTCCTCAAGTAACTTCCTAGCTTGCTCAGAATTAAAGTAACAACACTTGCTAGAAGTAGTGGGCATGATCATTTTCTTTGTTTCAAAATAGAGGTTCAAAACACTCACGTAAATTCCTGAAAACATGTCTTTCTTTCAACAAATTGGCACTCAGGTTGAAGATATTTCATTAAAAAAAAGTAGTTCTAGTTTTATATTGAATATATAAGGCATTAAAAATGTGGGATTGATTGTGAAACAGAACAAGACCTACAAACCAATATATATAGGCAGCTCGTCTAAGTAGAAAAACAAGCATGTCAATATATCAGCTGCTCGGAGACAAAGAGTTGAGGTTTTATGAAATTACAACAGCTCAATCTATAGCAATCCGTTTTGAGCATCAACCAATAACCAATTATTTCTAAGCTAATACAACAATATGAATATCAATTAAACATTGTCATCATAAATTTTCCTAGTTTAGCTTTGTACAAACAAACATGTCTTAAACTTTAATAAAAGATTTGTTTTTCAATTACAAGGAGTTATAACTATTTAACATTAATTACAAATTTGAAATGTTTGTTTCTAACTGTTTTTATTTTATACCAATTATGACCTAACTGAGCTAATCATTTTTGAATGCTTTCAAAATAATTTATTTACTAAAGTAACTAGTACAGTAGTAGTGCTAGTAAAGGTCTCAAAATCCTGTAACCACCCCAGTCATAATGGATTTTCTGATTTCTAGGTGGTGGTCCTCACTTGGAAGTCATACAGACTAAGGTTGGTTGTTTTGCTATGATGGTGAAAATAATTTTACAAACATCCATAACACTTTCACTATGTTAAAATGTGTGTGGGTACGAACATATTTTGCAATATGAAATGGGAAATGGGATCTAGGTATTAAATCATGGCAGAAATAATAACTAATAATTACAATGCATGTTAACTTTCATTTTTGTGACATAGTTCAAGTTAATATTGAGTTGACTCAACTGTTGGCACCCATGATCCAATATGCAATAAGAAATGGGATCTAGGTATCAAATCATGGCAGAAATAATAACTAATGATTACAATGCATGTTAACTTTCATTTTTGTGACATAGTTCAAGTTAATATTGAGTTGACTCAACTGTTGGCACCCAAGATCCATATATGTGCTTCAACATAAATAATTGAGGCACTAATTCACTGAAATACTTCCTTGAAACGTATACTAACAGTTTATCTGAAGCTTACAGTTAATTCTAAATAACAAATTAATTCTCAAGAATATTTTTTTTTCAAAATTATCATTTCCTTTAATTTTTAACACAAAGATAAACTATGGATTATCTATGATGCATCCACTGCATTTTAAAAACTAAACTTTTTTCTGTGGTATTTGCATCCACTGTTTATCAGGCAGGTTTAACTAACTACCAAACAAGAAATTCATAACTACAACAATGGTTTTTTTCCAGTGATGTAAAATTACTGGTACATTAAAAAGTTGTAATATCACCAATATCATACCAGGGGTCAATTTTAAGTCGTCTGTGACAACCTAATATCCTACTGAATAACTACAACTAGCAGCCTGAGTTTTCCATTGGACAATCTCAAAAAAATAATTTTATAGCTGGCTCTTTTAGAGAAGTTTTTCATCATATGTCAATAATTCTTTCTGATATTTACTCCTGGATTACTTATAGCCAATTAGAAAGGGTAGATTTTAAAATCTCTGGATCCATTGTAAACCTGAATGTTCTCTCAATTTCATACTAGCTATTTTTGCACCAATTTCCTCCTGGCCATCAACTACTAAAATAAATTATTGTAAGTTAAGCTTATTTACAAAGCCAGTAAAATTATTATAATAATAATAATATGACATTCTTATATATTTCTTATTTATTGTTATAAAAGTAACTAAAATGTAAAAATTAAGAACTTGTTAGGTTACATAAGAAAAATTATATGAAAAAACATTTGATAGTACAATCAAACAGGAGCACCTGTTGCAAGTTTAACATTGTTGTAATTTGATCTCTTATGCTTGTAACTTAATGCTATGTTTACACAAAGCTTCCCCAGTTGTATTAACTGAATTTGGTGTTAATATAAAGAGCAGAAAAGCAATAAATCCAAATTACTGGGAGTTTTGAATTGTTTTAGCTTTGGATGTAAAAATTAATAAAATTATATTATAATTTGCAGTAACTCTAAAAAAGAAATATGTTGGTTTATTTCATTTTTCTTTTTGTTACTACATGGATCAAATTGACTGAGGCCTAAACAGTTAGTACTAGTTTAGAGAAAATAACAGATAAAATGTAAAGTTTACATTAAAGAATTCTTGACATTAATTTTGAAAGTTTATCAGCATGTGGTGTTTCATGTACAATATTAAAGAACCAAGGAAAAAAAAGGCATGAAAGATAGATGAAAAGTCAGGACAAATTAATTCTTTGGAGGACAACCTCAAAACATCCTAAGGTTTTCCTCAAAAAAATTCCTTAAAATTGATCACTGATTATCCACAACAATAGTTTATAAGTTCTGGCATTCTTGTGACTATAGAACAACTGTATTATTTAAAAGTATATATAAAATAAAAGTAATTAATGGCATTCACAATAACTACAATGATATTTCTAAAAGTGTTGATAACTAAACACCCAACACCTAATTTCTTAAGGAAAGCAACAAAACGTTTCCTTCATGCCAGCCAATAAACGATGTTTTTGAAAGAGCAAGAGAAAGCTAGAAACACTATCTACTCACAGTTAGATGATAGAAATAGAATGACAAAATGAAATATTGATTCTAACATAAGCACCCTGATAAAACTAAATGTACACATATATATACCATTATTTGACAAATGTCTGTGTGTGTGTGTGTGTGCTTGTAAATAACAAACCACTGGACTGGTTTTCATCAAACCTGCAGCATATCCTTAGGGATCCCCAAGAAGTAACACAGGTGAGTTGGTATTTGGATCTGATCCCCTTATGTCATTCCCTCTCAACCCTATGTCTTCCTCGTGCATTGGACAAATACATCAAGCAGCTTATTATTTAAAAAAAAGTTTTATGCTAATTGTAAAGATACCATAACAATAGTCTGGCAAATTTTATGTGCATAGAAATGAAACTCAAAAATTACTTCACATAACCAAAAAAAACTGTTTTCTTGTTCAAGTCATATAATCACAAAGTTATTTCACAAAATCAGTCTTAATACATAATTTTTCTAAATACTTCAACAGATTAAAATAGTAAACACAAGGTATGGCTCACTTTCAACACATGGCCAAAATCACAGATTCATAAGGTTTTCCCAGCATTCTTCTTCTTCCCTTTATTTTATTTTAAATGTTTAAAACATATTTACAAGCTCTGCAGAATCCACTAAAACAACATTGTAGACTTACCATCTGGTTGATCAGGCTGCAATAGATTAATACGAAGCAAACATTTGTTCTTCATTGCTAAAACCAGTTGATTGTTGCTAACTGCCAAGTGGGTAATAGCATCTGTAGGACTAAGAAACAGGTTTAATTTAGCAAATGAATATATATATACATATATGAATCAAGTGAAGATTTTTAAGTTACACATCGAAAGAAAGAGAAAAAAAATGTTCCCAAAAAATACTAGAGCATTATACTAACACACTTGAATATTATACAATGAAATAACTTTGACAGGAAAAGAAGCTTTAGAAAACCAGAAAGACAGAGGAGGCTTTCAGCTAAAATGTAATAAAGCCCTTCTTCAACAGAGGCAATAGTATGGAGATAAGTAGTCTTTCGTTATCATTGATCAGCACACTGGAACACACACAACTGTCACTCAACCCCAAATCTGAAACATCTAATCAATCAGTTCCAGTACCACCAACCAATCAGAGGCAACATCACCCGCCTTATATACAAAGTGCAACCAGTTTTTATTATGACCTAAGGATAGAGGATTTTTGAAACAGTGGCACCTTAGCCTTCTTTATTGAAACCCTTTCAGTAGAGTTCTGCTATCTATACAAGGCAGTTACTGACCACTTTCATATTTGTTTCATTAAGATTTATTGATTGATTTAAACAAGTATAGTTATAATTACAAGTGATATGATGCATAGACATACATTCTAGTGACACTGCCGAGACCAGTACAAAGAAAATGAATTGATCTATTGTAGAAAACTATAGCACCAGTTTCATTATCAAAACTGAGAGACTTATTTCAGGTATCATCTAAATCAATTATTTGATAATCTCTAATGAAATAAAAACATGCTTGAAAAATAATTTAGGTTACTTATTAGCAGTTACAAAATAACTAATATACTTGAAAACACTGAAAAATGTATCATATGAATTCATCAGTACTTTTGTTTTTAGTTACACAGCTCAGTTTGGGGAATGTGTATGGGTAATTACCATGATATTTGTTTATTATTGAAAAAGAAAAATCATGTATCCAATGCATAAAATTCATGGAAAGGTATAAAACATGTAACTAAATTGAGCACACGTTGGTAAGGAAGTTTCCCAATTACTCAACTCAGAATGCCCTATTGCTGGTAATAAAGATAAAAGAATTCTAGGGTGTATTTACAAAAGTTAACATTTTTTTAAATTGAAAATGTATTTCCTATAGATACACACCTTCGTTCACATATAATAGCTGTCTTTGATTGTGCTACCCTCTATATGTGCAATTTTCGCTTGCCACTAGCCTTGAGGTGCCCATCTAACATCATGCGTTTAAACGTGGTATAGCTGTGTTGTAGCATGCAAGCAAGCATGTGACAACTCTCTACCAAAAGGAGTGCAATACAACCTCCTAGTGCAGCTGACTCCCTCTATATTGTAGATTGCAATAATAACTTTGAGATTAGGGAAAAAAAGACACAGCAGAAGTGAGGAAGATGGGTGGGAAATGTGAGTGGAGGTAGCTATCGGAAATACATTTTCATTGTAGGAAAATCTTAACTTCTGATATGATACCTTACCCTCTCTCACATAATAGCTAGAATTCTACACTGAAAAGGCGGAGGGACTGATACGAAAGTTACCCAGATGAACACTCTTTGGAAGGTGCCCAAAGAGAATCCATGGAGTGAGATACCCTAATGTAAAGGGTCACATTCATGGGAAATTGCACTCCATCTGTACCAAGTATACTCTTTGCCCATTGTAAAGATAACGTGGTGAAATCAGGCAGAAAAACATGCTTATCCAACCAGTAATTGGATGTGCCAGATGGTGTAGAGTGGCTAGGGTATCAGACTGTAATTAATGGGTAAACTCCTGTCCAAAACCAAGCAGCATTGGGTATTTGTCTCCAGTCTGCAGCAGGAGAAGGGCCCCAACCATCTTCACCTTAAGCTCAAGAAGCAGAAGGGAAAAGCAACTTCCATTCCGACAACTCTGAACCCAACATTAGGGTGATGGTAGAAAGGGGGAATACAAATGAGTGATGTACTGTAGCCATCTCTTGAGAGTAATAGAAGAAATATCTCAGGGAGATGAGGAATTCCAAAGAATAAATACATGGGACCGTGACATGAGAAAAGGAGCAGAGCAGACCAAAGAACAACAAACCATGTAGATGGGATAAAGAAAACAATTCAGAACAGAATAGGAATAATATTGAGAAATGGAAGGAAAAAATATGGGAAGCAGCAATGGCATACACATCATATCTCCTATGGCCACAGGTAAAATGTAAGAAATAGGACCTAAGCAAAGATGGTTCAAGGAACAAGGGACTAAAGGGTCAAAGAGAGGGTAACAGTATGGAGATAAATATTCAGGTCCAAATCAGAATGGACTGCTAAACAAGGATATCAAAGGTTGCCAAAGGAACAAAAAAGCATAGAAGAGACTGGAGAGGAGAATACATGACAATAATAATATAAAAAAAAGTATCAGGTAGAGCTGCCCAGTAACCAACCATGGTCAAAAGCGCAAAGCCACGTTAGAACATCCAATGAAAAACTGGAAAAATGGAGGATAGAAAGAAGGGTATGAAAGAAAAGATGATACAGAGATCAACTAAGGAATGTGTACCCTTGTCTTGGATAGACAAGGAGGGAGAAAGAATGAACTGAACAAGAAAAAAGAAAGACTACACAAAAAGGGAGTCTAGAACATCTTGCAAGGGACCAGACAAAATCCACACATGAAGTTGAGGTGACAACTGCTAGATGGGAGATGGAGAAGTAAGGGTGAAGGAGCAAAAAAGAGACAGCAGTAGAAGAAGAGAAGAGAACAGGAGAAGGTACAATAGAGGTAATCATGGCTGAGCCAACCAGTAAGGTTATCATGAGGTATCAACATGGAGTGTCCAGAATGAGGGAGAAGATGAGTAGGAGGGAAAGCATGTACAGAAAAGTTAGACTAGTGCTGACAAAATGCATCCCCAGCTAAAGCTGAGGGGAAAGGAATAGGGAATTAGAAAAGAAGAAGTAGGGTGTTGAGAAGAGTGGCAAATGGCAAAAACATCAAGAAGTGTATCCAGATGAGAGCACAGCAATTTCAACACCAGAGAATGAAGGACCAATCTGTAGGTAGTATCTTGGCAAGCCTCAAGAGATGATTCCCAACAAGACTCAGAGCACCTGGAATAGAACAATCTATTAAATGTACTTACATAGGATGCACCAGGAAAAGAGGTCAATTGAGTGAAAACATGGAGAGCGAGAGAAAGTGTCCCCTGATGATTGGTAAAAGAGACAACTGCAGAGTTGACTGTATGTAACATCAAGAGATGTCTATGTTTTAAAACTTTTGGTGGCACGTCAATTTTTGGATGTTTTTTAGGGTGGTCCATAGACATCTCTTGATGTTACTGGATCTGAAGGGACAATTTGTCATAGTATCAAGAAGCCGAATTCACATGAGAGTCAAGACATGCACCCCATCCCGTCAAGATGACATCTGGAAAAAGAAGGAAACCTGGACAATAGGAAGTAGAATACCCACTATAGGAGTAGTTTTATCAAGTAACCAGATGAAGTCTTTGAGTAAGGATGGAGGATGGTTGAGAACAAGGGACCCCCAACAAAGATTCAGAGAATATGCAGTCATAAAATATGGAGGAGTCATAAAAGCCAAAATGCATTTATCCAGATAGAATAGTTTGATTACTGCCTGCCTATTGTGATTTTAGTGATGGGGGTGAAAGGGGGCTGTGAAGGGTGTTGCCATGAAACCTTATAAGTGTAGGGAGTGTTGGTATAATAAGCCTAAAATAAAGACATAGTGTGAGATAACCTAGCCTAGAGCCAAGTGCATAAAATTTATCATGAAAGTAAAAATATTGATTCAATTGCAATCTTAAATCGTTTCTGAATTAAACCATTTTTTCTCATATCACCAATGTTTTTAGTAAAAAACAAACCTCTTTGATCAAAGGAGACTCTAAATTAAGAAATCAACAAATATTTTTCCAGTTCTGTTGTCTATACATTTCATTTTATACCTTGAATACATAGACTATATTAGGTTATACTTTTGTTGCTAAGCAGCATGACATATAAGCCATTGTTAGAACATATTGTTACCAAAATGCACTGGCTTTTCCATATATTAGAAGTTGTTAACCTAACTGGTTTTTACCAATACTTATTCTATGATTATGCCACAAATTCATTTCACGAATGATCTTAATTTTTGTTTGCCCACAAAGGAATTTACAGACATTTGTCTGCCTTGACTGCACTTTTCTACCTCTTCACATAGCCAGGTGGTTAGGGAGCTTGACTCCCAATATGAAAGTCATGACCTTGAAAGACACAGGAGAAAGAGAAAGAAAAAAGTCTAAATGCAAAATCATGTCATTTTACAAGTGTGAGTAAACCCTGGTGGGAGAGATAAACAGTTAAAACTGGTCAAACTGGGCAGAAGGAATGTTGGACAAATGTACAGTAGGTGAAGGAGGCCCACTGTGCATGAATAAATACAGAACACTTTGAACAATGTCTGTCACGTCCTTCAAAGACAACAAGCCTCCTGTAGCTGCAGGTCCCATGTTATACCATCATCACTATAACAGGATGAAATGAAAGTTACCATCACTTGAGAATTCATAAAGACAGGAAAGCACCTTATTTTTTGTGAAATTAAAGAAACCATGACGGTTATGTGAAACATGAACACTAAACCAGCTAAACTTTGAATAAATATTAACTCAGTCGTAAACTATCATAAATCTTAAATAATTGATTAACAAATCTGGAACATATACATTCTAGACTATGCTGAGGAAAAGAATGAAATCAATTAATTCACAAATGCTAATGGGAAGCTACTGCACAACAAGTAGCCTATTGGTGGAGGGTATTGTTGCACGATGATGACATCATGTACTAGCACCGTTCGTGTTAACTCTCCCCATGGACAGGTCAAAGTGTGCAGGTCATGAATTTTTAAGAACTACTTTCAAAATTTAATTAAACTACTGTATCATCATTGTATACAAATAAACTTGGCATCAAAACATATTTAATAAATCAAATTTTAATATTATATACGTTTTAAATTCTTAATTTTATAAAGAAATATTTTTAAAAATCCTTAACCTCCCTTAGTATGAAAATTGTGACATTTGCTCTTTAGGTCTTCCCTCTTCCCTAATTTATTTACCACCCCTCTGAGAAGTATGGAATTTAATGCAAATTACGCATTATAATAAAGATATTACTCAGGCAAAGCACAATTTTTTTAGCTTTCAATCATAGTTGTTTATTGAGTCATAGACTAGTAAATCAGACTCACTTGCTACAACCACCTGTCACATTCTCTCTTTCACAAATTGCCAACAGTTCTCTCTGAAATTTTATACTATATCATTTTCAACTAATAGAAAGCCAACATTTTAATCTATCAAATGATGTATTTTATTACGTTTTTTTACTAAACACTGAATTGTCTCTTTTGTTTCCAGTTCGAAAGTTTTCTCGTGGTATTTACATTGACAAGCTCAGCTGAATTTCTAAAGGCTGTTATCTCATTGTTAAAAAAACAGAAAAATTAGCATAGTCACAGGACATTGTCTGCTTTTTGTTTGTAATTATTCTGTGTTCTTAGGTGTATTATTTAATTAAATAAAACTTTAGTGTAGCAGTACCATTAGTATGAAATAGTAGGCTTAAGCTTCATTTACAGTCAATGTAAAAAAAAAACAAGGACCAAGGTAAGTACTATATTTCTTGTTTTTCAGCCGTATTCTTCACTTATTATTATAAAAGTAACTAAGATGTAAAAATCAGAAACTTCATAGGTAAGATAATGAATAATAATAATAATTCTTCATTTGGTATATTCTATTTGCAAGCAGTTTATGCATTACATAATTCAATGCTTAAGTGAGCTGCACATTTGCCGAATGATTTACAACTAGTGTGGCAATAAACCAATAAAAACAGATGTATACAGTTATCAGAATTATCCTTTCAGCACTGTATAAAAATGTTATGTCACTGATGACACAACACTTAATATATTTTACACAAAGATGAAAAAACACTACCTTACATAGTTGAAATGCAATTATTGAAAACTACACAAGATATTATAAAATCAAGAAAATAGTTTGGGTTTATAAAATATTAGCTTTACATGACATATAATGATACATTTTACTGTTAATTCCACATTTTTAACAGTCAGCTTATTGATCTGTATTGTTTTTCTGAAATCTTAAGCTGCTACTTGTCTGTAATTACTTTAGAAGTAATAGCACTGTAATGTTGTTGTAAAATTCCTATATATAATATACTCAACCTCTGTGTAAGTAGTTATGTTTTTAATATATCTTAATTCATTGTTAATTTGAATATGATTTACAACAATTCTCTATATTTGTTTCATTTGTAGTAAATAAATTGCTTAATCGTCCTAACACTTTTGCTACAGGCATCTTTTACTTTCTTATCATGGTATACACATAAACTTGGCATATCGTTAATAATCCAAATTTTAATATTATTCAAGTTTTAAGTTTTTAATTTTATAAAACAATATTAAGAACAAATCCTGAATTTCCCCTAGCATAATAATTGTGGCATTTGCTCTCTAGGTATTGCCTCTTCTCTAATTTATTTACCATCCCTCTAAGAAGTATGAAATTTAATGTAAATCACTCATTATAATGTTGTCATCACTCAGAAAAATCATAACTTTTATAACCTTCAACCTTATTTGGGTAAAGAGCCATAACTTAGAAAATCAGAACCCTCTTGTCATGCCCACCTGTCACATCCTCTCTTTCAGAAATTGCCAATAGTTCTCTCTGACTTTTAATACCATATTATTTATAATCAACAGAAATCCAAGGTTTTAATCTATCAAATGACATATTAAGTTGTTTTCTGTACAGAGAATTTTCTATTTTGCTTCCAAATCAAACTTTATTCCCTCGGAAAATACATTGATGAGCTTACGTGAATTTTTAATGGCTCTTATCATATAATTAGAAACCAGAAAAATTGTGAGTTATGGGACATTTTCTGCTTTTTGAATGTTATCATTCCATGTTCTTTGGTACATTATGTAATTAAATAAAAATTATTTAGTGTAGTAGTACCATTAGTAATAACAAGTAGTGTTAAGTTTCATTGCCAATCAATAGCAAAAAAAAGAAGACTCTGGTAAGAATTTTATTTCATATTTTTCAGGTGCATTCTTTAATTATCATTAAGAAAGTAAGTTAATTTGTAAAAATGACAAACCTTTTTAAGTTATAATTAAGTTACATTAAGTAAAATAAATAATAATAATAATTTTTCATGAGATACACTTGTACAACTCGCAAGTAGCCCGTGAGTTATGTAATTCGATAGGGTACCATGAGCTAAACATTCGCCAAGTGATTTACAATTTGTGTAGTGAGAATATTAGTTAGACACAGTTCAAAGAGCAATAAAACAGTAAAATTTAAGTAGAAACATATGTATACAGTAACAAGTTTAAAGCTATTAACAATAAAGAAACAAACATAGTTTCATGTTATAATTTTAAGTCATGAATTCTATAGGAGGTTGATCAATTAGACCAACCTTGTAATTACCAATATAAAAATCTAATTAGATCTAAATTACTTTTTTTCTTTCTAGATTACAAGGTAAGCCAAACTGACCAATCTCATATAGAGTTAGGGTAGAGAAAATAACAGATAAAATATAATGTTGTACTGAAACAAAACATTTTGAATTTATTTAAGAGGCTTCAGAGATTATGCAAATGAAATTTGAGATTTTTCAGATGAAGAAAAGTATTTTTAATATTAACATGAAAATTACTTTGCATTCAGAACAGTCAACACTTTGACTCCATATATTCATGGAGAACTTTTTATGAAAATACTTCAATAAAAACTGATTTTAGTTGACAAATTACTCTTAATGATTACTGAAAGCTTGCAAAATTTCATGAAGATATACAAAACATATTAGAAGTTATAGTGTGGAAATTATAAAGGTCAATTTGGAGTCACAAACTCAGTCAATTTAGCCAAGCCAATAGCAAAACAGTTAACCCTTTCCACATGTCATCACATTTGTAGACTCACATTCAAAATTTTATTCAACTACTATTTTATAAATTTATGTCAACAAGTTTGGTATCAAACTGCAGATTATAATTCAAATTTTAGCATTATACATTAATTAATTTCTTAATCTAAAAGTATATATTAAAAAACACACCTAAACAACGATTTTTGTGTGTCACGTGGTATGTTGAATGCAGCACTGGTTCAAATTTGATGTTTGTTATGTCAAAATACAAAGTCTATAGTTTCGTACGAATTAGGAACTCTAATTACCAATATTAACAAGCTAGAATATATAATAAGAACCTCCTATCTTTTATATTTGCTGAGGTATCTCATGTATTGAATCAAACACAGTGGCCACACTCACCTCTTTCTATTTTTGGAAATGCTCCCTTATATATATATACTAATTTCTGCCTATAACATGTGAACAACCATTGAAAGCTCAGAATGTCCCCCTGGTGGCTTTCTCAGCCATTTTCGTGTATTACAACATCACCTCATTCTTTTGATATAAATCTTCGCCAATTTATCATCAAGGGAGCTCAAGCTTGGTGGATTTTATCATGAGAATTATATCATTTGAATAATTATCATCAAGGGAGCTCAAGCCTGATGGATTTTATCATGAAAATTATATCATTTGAATAATTATCATCAAGGGAGCTCAAGCCTGATGGATTTTATCATGAGAATTATATCATTTGAATAATTATCATCAAGGGAGCTCAAGCCTGATGGATTTTATCATGAAAATTATATCATTTGAATAATTATCATCAAGGGAGCTCAAGCCTGATGGATTTT